ACCAACAGAACATAAATAATTCTTAGGAGGGAAATTGCCTTTAAAAAAAACAACAAAAAACAAGTTCATAGACTGTCAAGGAGTTGGGAAGTTGGCCAACTGCATCAGCTTTGGGGTGTGGTTCTACTGTGGGCTGGCTCCCCCAACTCCCTAGGAGGGGGCGGAGGGCAGTGGGAGAGAAGTACCAAGCTATAAAAAGCTTTGCGTTTTTATTTCCTTCTAAGGCATCCTGAGTCACTGGGTGCTCCAACCCCCTCCTCCCCCCCTCCCCCCCCTCCTGCGGGAGGAAGTGCAGCTGAAATCGGAAATGTGTGTGTAGGATTCCCACCCCCCCCTACCCCCACCCCAAACCAGTTAACAAACCGGATGACAGCTGTCACCTGCACTCAATCTCTTATAGGCCCAAAGGGTAGCTTCCTATTTCCATCCAGCGAAGAGAATGGAAGTTACTTTAATTATCTGGTGTTTCCCGCCCTCCATCCAGGTTCCAGTATTACACCACAGTCTTAACCACAAGCGTACATCAACACACACACCCTCCTGCGTGGAGCTGCTCAGAACGCAGTCTCATTTGTCATCTCAAAGGACAGCAGCGCTCCTACATGAATGACTTCGCCTTACTCTTTAGGCTGCAGTCTGATCCAGTGATCAGAATCCTAGAAAGCATCGGGCAGGTACCCGTCCAACCTTTCCTCACCAAGGAGGAAACTGAAGCCCAAAAATGCTAAGGAACTTGCCCCAAGGCTACAAAGGAATGGACCAAAATTTGAGCCACAGCCTGGGGCCATGTCCCCTGTAGCCCAGCTCTAGGTAGTTTCTAGGCCCGCCCCCCCCCCACCACCCTCAGGGCTTAAAGGCTGTCTGTCTCCAGCCCTCAGGCCAAGGGAGGGGCTCTGTTAAGATCTTCTCCTAGTGCCCTGGAGATTTCTGTCCTTTTTGTGCAGTGGGATTGTAACCAGGTGAGGTGGCCTGGAAAAAGATCCTTCTGGAACCAAGAGGGGGTTCAGGAACCAGGGTATGCATAGGACAGCATTGAGGTTGCCACACCAAGGTTTGGCATGTACTATGCCACATTCCCCACCCCCAGCCCCAGCCCCCAGCCCGCCTTCCTCAGTCCCTCTGCAGTTAGATCAATGTGCTCCCACCTACGGATTCCTTAATACAATCCCCAGACTTGGATTAATATAAAGGATGAAGACCAAAGGGAAATTCATCTATGACGTACATTTTCTACATAAACAATTGTGGTTCTCTCCCCGCCCCCCTCCTCCCTCCTTTCTTTTGTGCTGCTTCTGGGACTTAAACTCAGTGTCTCAGGCTCTCACTTGGCTTTCTGGCTCAGCTGGTACCTACCACTTAAGTGCTTTACATTCTTCCCCACCTCTACCCCCAGTTGTGGAACTGAACTCAGGGCCCACGCGCTGTCCCTGAGAGTTTTGGCTCAAGGCTAGCACTCTACCACTTTGAGCTACAGCTCCACTTCCGGTTTCCTAGTGGGTAATTGGTGATGTCTCAGACTTTCCTGCCTGTGCTGGCTTCGAACCACAATCCTCAGATCTCAGGCCTCTCAAGTAGCTAGGATTATAGGCACGAGCCACTTTTTTTTTTTGCTGGTTAAGTGGAGGTAAGTCTGTCAGACTTTTCTGCCTGGACTGACTTCAAACTGCAGTCCTGAGAGTGCACTCTCCTGAGCAGGCAAGATCACAGCCATGAGCCACCCACACTTAAGAGGCCAAGAGATCTGGTTAAAAATGTCAAGTGTTAACACCCAAACTAAAACCAGATTAAGGCTGCCAGAAAACTTGTCTGTAGAATCTTGGGCCCCGACTCCCACCTTTTGTGCTAGGACCACAGGAGAATTTACCCAAAGGCAAGTGGCTTGTCCAGAGAGCTAAAAACCTACACAGTTCAGTTAAAGAGATGAAAGGCTGCAGAAATGTTTATTGAATACAGTGCCAGGTTTATAAATAAAACTTATTTACAATTTCCATAGAGTTGGTCCCCCATCAGAGGAGGTGGTTAAATCTCCAAACAGTTGATCTCAAGGTTTACAGAAATGTTCAAGTACATCTCTCCTTTTTTCCAATAGCCAAGGTGAAAGGTAACTTCAGTAACAAAAGAACCACCACCATCTTTGCTACAGAAGTGTTGAAAGAACATTTTCATGGATTTGGAGAAAGAACACACACTCCACCCCATGCCACTACCTTCTTACTCCAAGGGATAGACAGCAAAGAAATCTGTCTCCTATGGGACAACTTCAAGGGATTAAAAAAAACACTTTTCAGCTGTGGGAATCGATTAAGACACATTAGTGGAAATCTAGTCACTGCCCAAAGGGGAAATATATTCAGGATATACAATAAATAATTGAAATAGTTCAAAGAATTGAATAAACTTAAGAGTAGACTTGACCAAATTGACATTCTTTGTTCAGGAAGAAGTTCCCAAGATGCTTAGGGGCTAATAATATGCAATTCCTCTCATGTAACAGCAGTGCTAGGCCTATGGACAGCCATTCCTTACAATATTGTTACAAGTTCAGTCGGACATGCATTTATAAAGAGAATATAAAAATATGTACAACAGCTCATCTTCAACGTGTTGAAGTCGCCGAAAGACACCAATTAAAGTGCGCAAAAAATTTGTTTTGTCAAAAAAAAAATTTTTTTTTGTTTTTTTTTTTTTCAGAAAAAGCCTTTTCTGGCAACAGTGCATTGAAAGCCCATCAGAATGGAGGTCCATTTGCCTTGCTTTACGCCTACCCCGAACTGATGGAGAACCAAACTGAAGAGAGGATTTGCCAAGGACTCAGCAGTTTCTTATGGCAAGTCTCAGGCTAAGAGCAGGACACAAGTTAAACTAGTCACTTTATATATAAATATATGTATATATTTATAGCGTAGTTAGAAGTAGGGGCAAGAGTTTTCAAGAAGGTGCTACCCAACTTCAAGAGTACTGCCAAGACACCCAAGCTCGTTCCCTGTGCTGAGCTGCACCCCGGGCTGGGGTGGGAGGGGGGGAGGGGAGGGCAGGCTGAAGGGCTCGGCCTCACCTGTGCTCCACACCGGAACTCGGTACTCCCTGGGGAGGTGGGGGGGTAGGGTTTACTGGTTCCCATGTAGGATGCTGGCCACACAAGAATCCTGCTAACACGGATAGAAAGACGAGTGAGAGGGCAAGATAGGAGGGAGGCTTTTTAAAAATAAGCTATCACCTCCCATCTTCAACACAAGCCTAAGGCTGGTTCCACACCTCCATTTTTTGACGTCCTCCCCCCCCCACTCCTGTCCCCTGTACGAACCATCCAAACCAGGAGCCTGCAGCAGCTTCCTCTCACTGTTAAAAGAGTTCCTGGCAGATTCAGGTACTCACACAAGCCAACAGCTCATGATATCAACCTCTCCCAACAGACGCCCTGTCCAAGGACTAGTAGCAGCACGCGGGCAACGTCCCCTCTCCACCGCTCTGACCCACCCCTCTGGCAGAAAACCAAACAAGCTGCAAAATGCCAGAAAGGCAGGGAGTAGGAGAGGGGGGAGAAGCTGAGGGTCTCTGTAATAATCAGCCCTGAATGCACCCATTTGGCTGCCAAGAGCTTCTCACTGGCTGGCAAGCCACCTGCCAGTTTCCCCGCAAACCAGCAAATTCAAACCACCCACCCATACTCAGCAGCCCAAGCTCTTTGCTAGTAAGATACAGCCACTTAGCACCCTGAAAAATGTACATCCAGCTTTCATTTCAAAAAGAACTCCATGCTAAATGCGGTGTGCTTCTAAAGGGGCTTTTAAAATGGACTGGTGCCTCTGTCGATACCAGTACAGCATGTCTGAGTTTTGGTTACACGTTTATAATTAGACATGAAATTCATTCTGGGCTAGGGTTTTCCTTTCCAGCCAGAGGCTTAGCATTAGTGCTACTTGGGGGTAAAAAAAAAAAAAAAAAAAAAAATTAAAAGTAGTCAAGTCAAATTTAAAAACAAAAAAAAACACCAACAAATACAGGCTAAGGTGAAGAGTCTTACAAATTAAAAACTGCATCAAGGTGACTGATAGTGTCTTTTAGGCATGTAGACTGGCTTGGGAAAGGATTACTGCTTCTACCACACAGAGTGAGGGTTAAATTACACACTAAATCATGTCTCTTGCACAGATGGTCTCAGTAGTTACATAAAACAGGTAATCAGCAGCACAACTGAAAATAATCCCTAAAAACATGCTTTAGAAAGTGAGTTTTTTTCCTTGAGAGCTTGGCCACCTAACTAGATTAAGGTACCATGATTTGCCTGCCCCTGCCCACCAACTGCAACTAGACTTATACAGTCATAAATAAAGCAACCAGCAATCTGCTGTTTTTCGGCAAGGTGTTAGGCTCAGAGGTTGGTGCTAGAACCCAGGAGGGAAGGAAACCCAACCCCTGGGCTGAGGGCCTCCACTCTAACTGCCTTGTCCCCCTTTAGAGCTCAGCTTTACAAAGCATTTAACACCACTTTAAGTTAATGGTCTTTTTATTGGAAAAAAAAAAAAAAAAAAAGACTAGCATTTACAACTTGGAATGGACGTAAATTGTCAATTTCTCGAACAGCAATGTTGATGGTTGTGCTGAAGTCCACAGCCACAGCCTACTCTGCTGGCTCCAAGTCATGGTTCCGAAAGTTTTAAAAACAGAGTCCAAGGATGCTCCTGGTAGATGCCTTTTTTAAAAATGTGTGATTGGTGACACTGGACACCCACTTCATCTAGTGCCATGGAGACAACGCTAAAACCAACAGAGCAGGCACGCCACCCGGGTGTCACTGTCACCGTGGACTGGAGCGCGTGGGAGGACAGGAGAACTATCCCACGGCTGGGGCTGCATCTCAGGCTCACCCTTCACCCATTTTTCTGCACATCATCCTGAGGTAAACCAATTTGAAATGTGTCTTGTTTTCAGTAAACCAGCTAGGACAACTGATACTAATTGAACTAGAACCCATTGGAGTAAGTTTTGAATTTTTTTTCATCTTTCAACTTTAATACAAATGCCTGACTGTGCTCAATCGTCAAGCTGCATGCATGAAAAACTGGCCAGCCCAAACAGTGTATTAATCATTAGCAAATGGAACTGCAAGGAATCCACTAAGTGCTTCCTTATCATTAAGGTAGAACAAGTATTATATTGTAAAACTCATGTGTAGCTTCATCTTTAGGGGACAGGACCACCAACCAATACATGCAGATTTTGTGTGTGGACAGAAGGTACTTTTGACATTCAGTTTTGCTATATAGAAACAGAATGAATAAATGAACTTTTTCTTTTTCTTTTTTTTCTTTTTTTTTTTTGCAAGAGGTAAGTAAAAGATTCAATTTGATTCTTCTAGGGGGGAAAATAGTTGAAAGAAGTTCTTCATTTTGCAGTCATCATCTGTACGAATTCTGAAAAGACAAATAAATCATAACTTTTGTTATCTTCAAAAGCAGCTTTAGTGAATGTAGCATCTACTTTGAAAGTCAGCTTGGACACAGATCCTAACAGTAAGATGGTTAAAAATTAAGGTGCTGTTTTACCTTCATAGTTCACTTGTCCATCTCCATCAATATCTGCTTCTCTGATCATCTCATCTACTTCTTCATCTGTTAGTTTTTCTCCTAAGTTTGTCATGACATGGCGTAGTTCTGCGGCGCTGATGTAACCATTCCCATCCTGTGAACATTCAGCAATTGTTACAGAGGAAGGGTGGCTGTGGCTGAGGTACTGTCAATTCCACTCCCATCTTCAGTTCCCACTAAATCTAAGCAGTCTACGATCACAGAAACCAAGACTTTCAAAAACCAGCACTGCCAGTACCAGGGCAGTTTGTTCAAAAATGTTCTCTATTCTTCCTGCTCTTGCCCAATGAAGTACTGAAATCAGAATATTTGGAAGTGACACCAGAGGCTCAGGCAGGCTAAGTATTCCACCTCTAACCAGCTGATACAGCTTTTACAAATGGAAACCCTAGAAACTGCCTTAAGAACCACCTATGATGCAGATATAAGATTACCTTGTCAAAGACTCGGAATGCCTCACGGATTTCTTCTTCGCTATCTGTGTCTTTCATTTTTCTAGCCATCATAGTCAAAAACTCTGGGAAGTCAATGGTGCCATTACCTCAAATTAAAAAACACAAAAGGCTCATGTAAGTAAGCACTGCATTAACACTCTCTGCAGGAGTAATTTTAGAACCAGTTCAGAATGCTAGGGAAATTGTGATTCGGTACTTATTAGGCTCAATCTTTTATAGACACAAAATATTCAAATACTTCAGAGTCATTACAACTCAAGTAATTTTATAGGGTAATCGTCAACAACCAACATAGCCTTTAAAGATGCAAAGGAAACTGCACAGAGATCATGAGCACAGAGGAGGCAGTACAGCTCAAGAGCGGAAGTAACTCTGACAGCCTGCCTCATTCTACCCTGGCCCTCAGGATGACCTGCCCCACACTTAGGAGACCACTCAGGTCTAACTCTACCTTGGCTAGCAATACCAGTACTGTACAACTGCAGGAAAATTGACAGTTACACCACTGGCCAGTCTCCGGGAAAATGTTCTCTGAGTACATTTTTTTCAGTCATATTATGTTAAGCAACCTGTTTTTCTCCCATCTCCAGTCTTGGCTTCGTGTGAGGATTGAACCCGTGTTCCCTTGGATGCTAGGTATGTTCTCTACCAATGAGCTACATCTCAGCCACCAACTCAGCATCTTACTCCCCAGCCCCCCATGAAGGGAAAAGCTCAGAGCATTTTTTTCACAGCCTGGACCGTTCACATTTAGGAAACCCACACTATGGCCAATAATCCAAATAAGTCGCCAGCATTGAGAGATGAGTACCTCCAGAGACAAGCCTGAGCTAAGTGGAAATCAAATTGGAAAAAAAAAAATCCTTCAGTTATTTTCACCAGTACCTTTAGGACAATATAACCCTCGGACTAGAGTATATAACTCCATGGCAGAACATCTGCCTGTCCTGTACCAGGCCCTGGGTTCAATCCCCAACAGGGGGAGTGGGAGGGGAAGGAGACTCCTAAAGCCATTGGGGGCTCCAAACTTTTAAAACATTATTGTTTTAAAACTCATCTTAAGTACTGTCTCAAAACCATACAAAGATGTCCGTAGGTACCATCTACTCACTGCAAATACAGGAGTCTCTTCTTCACAATCTGAAGGCCAAAGCCCAGCTTTCCAGAGCTCCCCCCAAACAGGAAGTAGCAGCCTGTGGTACCCACATGGCTAATCTCCTTAGTAATTAAACCAAACAGACTACGGACTTCTTTCTCTAAAACTCTTCTTAGGGATGAAAACAATTTTTAGAAGTAACTCTTTGCAATCACAGAAAGAAACGTCAAAGAGCGTATCAAAAAGGTTTACTTTTGTTTTACTGCAAGCCTAATTCTACTGGAGTACGTTTTGGTACCCTATTTTTCTAAATGGCTACAAGTCAAACATCTAGAAAGTTAACTCTACATCCAAGCTGTTTATTCTTAGCTCATCTTTTAGAAATGTATTACCTACAATCTTACATAGTTCTTAAGTGGGATATACAAAAATACCTGTCAGTTAGGAGAAGGTGCTTCAGAAGCTTCTGACAAAAGCAAGCAATTAAAAGAGCTCATGTCTATCCACTGTTTTAGTCTAGAGGAACAGCAGCCAAGTACTGTGGGGACCTCGGATTCTTCCTGGTTCTGACCTTGCATAGCCTCCAAGAGCTCTTCCTCCTTCATCATGCAACCCACTTCAAATTTTACATGATCCTTGTCAGCAAGCACACATACAACTCATATTGCACTTGGTTTTAGGGTTTTTTTGTTTTTGTTTTTTTGTTTTTGCCTTGTGCTGGTCCTGGAGCTTGAACTCAGGGCCTGGGCACTGTCCCTGAGCTTTTGTGCTCAAGGAGAGCAATCTACCACTTGAGCTACAGAGCCACTTCTGACTTTTGGGTGATATTAACTGGAGATAAGAATCTCAGCCTTCCCAGTGCTTTGAACCATGGTTCTCAAGAGCTTAGCCTCTTAAGTCAAGATTATAGGCATAAGCCACCAGAGCTAGACTTGAGTTAACTTTTAAGAGTACACTTTACCCACAACACTTGGAGGTTTCTCCTCCTAAAAACAATAAACTTTATAAAAAGATTTGACCTGAGCCGGGCGCTGGTGGCTCACGCCTGTAATCCTAGCTACTCAGGAGGCTGAGATCTGAGGATCGCGGTTCAAAGCCAGCCCGGGCAGGAGAGACCGTGAGACTCCTATCTCCAATAAACCACCAGAAAACCGGAAGTGGCGCTGTAGCTCAAGTGGTAGAGCGCTCGCCTTGAGCTGAAGAGCTGAGGGACAGCGCCCAGGCCCAGAGTTCAAGCCCCACGACCGACAAAAAAAAAAAAAAAAAAAAAAAAAAGATTTGACCTGTAAGTCATAGCAAGCAGAAAAACAGCCATACAGTGACCAGATCCAGGAAACGTTCTAGACAGTGAACAGGGTGAATGGCACTGCATAGTCTTCTATTTTAATGTCAGGGGCCAAAAGGCAACTACAGAAAGGAATATTATACCTTGGCTTTGCTCTGGGGACCTGAAAGACAACCTCCTAACAGTTTTGAACTTGAATGACACAGCACTGGCACTCATACAAAGCTCTGCAGCCCTTACCATCAGCATCCACTTCGTTGATCATATCCTGCAATTCAGCTTCTGTTGGGTTTTGACCCAGTGACCTCATGACAGTCCCAAGTTCCTTTGTTGTGATGGTGCCATCACCATCTTTATCGAATAGGGAGAAAGCTTCCTTGAATTCTGGAAACAAAAGTTTATCCATTAGAACAAATGTGGACCAAATCCAAGCCACAGAACACACTTCCCTGAGGCCTGCTGACACAAGCTGCCCAAGCTGTGGGATTTATCAGAAACTGCCTGGTCTTTACTGAAATCAGGCCCCTATAGTCCTGTTGGCCTGAATCTCACATAACAGCCCATAAGGTAAACACTGCTCCGGGTAACCCACTCCACGTAACCCACTCCACGTTTTTGAAGGCCAAGCTTGAACATGCTTAAATCAGTCAAGTCCAATCTAGCACAAAATTAGTCCACATGTTCTCTTAAAGTCTCTTTATGTTAACTTCCTACAGTGTTAAGAACCTCTTCTTTCACAACAAGAAAAGGTTGTGAATAGATACATTCCAAAGAAAATAGCATGAGCTGTCACATCACACTCAGAATATTCCAGAAGCATTCCTGTTTTCTCTTCCAAAGAACATTTCAAAATAAGGTAAATGTAAATTAAGTCCCTTCCCCAATGAAATGGTTCCAACATTCATTTTACCCTTCTATTTAGAATAACAAGCTGAAGCTTTCCAAGTAGATTAGTGAAAGACTTGTGCATGTAAGAACTACAAACTCAATTTCTGAGTAGGAGTGCAACCTCAGCAAAGCTGTGCACATGGAGAAGCAGTCAGACATCCAGAGTAACATAATGTGGACAATTTCAGTTCCACTTCCTTCCATCTCCAAGACACGCCTGACTAAATGTTTCTTCCTGTTTATCACTGAAATAAATTCTTAAGGGGACAGCAGAGTAGTTCAAGTGGTAGAGGGCCTACTTATCAAGCTCAAATCCTAATACTGCTAAAAATAAGTTTTTAGAATAATATTCCGGTAGTAGGGGGAAACAGAGGAGACACTAAAACTGTGTCAGAGCCTAGTTCCAGCCTTCTAGAGACTTCCCAGTCATTAACTTACCAGCAATCTGCTCCTCGGTCAGCTGATCAGCCTACATGAAGAAAGAAAAGGTTATAATTCAATTCAGGATAGTTCTGTTGGTATCTACTTTCTCCAGTTAACAGTTTTGGCATTGCAATCATTCGGTTTGACATCACTAGCCTTGTCGTTTACTGAAGGTGGCGAGAACAGAGGAAACCTCCTGTGCTATTCTGACCGAAAAGGATGACAAGGAAGCGACAACATTGTGGGGCTTCATGTTTTCTTCTCAGGCCTAAAGCTTGCAGCAGGCGGGGAGCTTGGCGCCTGATGTGGAGATGGCGCCTCTAGCGGTGACAGGCGGCCCCACACGCCGCCGCCGCCGCCGCAGCAGCAGCAGCAGGCTGCGCAGGAAGAGCGCCACCTACTGCGCCAGACACTGCGGTCCCGCTTCCAGCCAAGAGCCCAGCCCAAAGTGCGGCCAGGCCACCGCAGCCACCGCAGCCAGGATCAGGATCCCGTCCAGAAACAGGCTTTTAGCGCACCTTGCTTCAGGCCCTTGAAATCTCCAAACTGGCGTTACATAATGGCATTCGCTGGATTAAACGGGCTTTCATATCCATTTTATGAGAAACAATTAAGTGGAAGAAATGCACGGCAATGGCTACCCCACTACCTGTATTTCCATGCAGTGAATGAATGCTTTCAATCATTTAAAGCAGGCAGCTATTTGTTTAAAGTCTACCATTTGTAACGGCTAATAGCCTTTGGCTGAATTATCCTACGATTCAGACGCTAGGATAAAAATGAGTTTAAAAGTGTTGCTACAAACCTGCAAAATTCAAATACATAGAAAACCGCACACAGTAATTATGAGACAGCAACCCTGTTTTCTGGTGAAGATCAGTAACTTCAATTTCCTGGTAGTTACCCTACAGACTTACCTACCTACCTAAAGAAGACCTAAGAGCGGCGCCTAGCAAACACCACTGCAGGTGACAATGGCCAGGAGGCAGTCCTCACTCGCATTATTTGGACTCTGCAGCACGGAACCTATGCCTCCAGCCAGGGGAATCTGAGATCTCAAGGACAGCTAATATGTATTTTCCTTTAATGAACGACGACTAATGAAGCCAGGTGCCAAACAGAAAGTTTATTAAGTGGAAACTTTTACCGTAGGAATGGTGTTCCAATGCATTTCATTGGCGGGTGGCAGCTTATTTGGACCCAATATCTAAGTGGGTCTTACCTTCCGGTCACTGAGAACTACTGGTTTACATCAAGTCGAGAAGACGTGAGGATTTATGTAATACCAGGGCAACGTCTATCTTGTACAACAGGAAGCGCTGCCCCACCTCGTCAGGGAAAATGTCATCTTCCTGGGGAGAACGATCCCACCTCCCCGCCCCACTCTCCAGCTTCCGGACACGAAATCCCCTTCCCCTACGGGCAGGGCGAGCGCCCAAGGTGTTGCGGAACAGGGCCGGGAACCGCCACCCACCCCGCCACGCCGCCGATGATGTCAGCCCGGCCTGGGAGAGTTAGGGGGCTGCGGGAAACACGCCCGGCCGGGCGCACGCCGGGCCTCGGGCACTCCCGAGGCTGCAGGGAAGGCGGAAACGTGGAGAACATCGCCCCGCAGAGCCGGGCGTCCAACACCCCGCGAGGGGCCGGCCAGGAGCGCGCGCCCAAGGGCAGACGGAGGAGCGGGGGGAGGGGGCAAGGGGCGCCCCAAGGCGATCCCCCACACCCCACTCCCACCCTCAACTCCCGGGCCGCGGTCCCGGCCGCCAGCACCTCCCACTCGCTTCTGCTCCCCCAGGCGGCGAGCCCGCCGCGCCGCCGCCTCCCCGGAGCTGAAACTTTGCGTCTCTAATGGAAACCGAGCCGCGCGCCAGCTCCTCCTCCCCCGCCCCCCTCCGCCCCAATTAGCGCGAGCCGAGCGCCTCCCGCGGGAAGGGGCCTACCGGCGCTCCGGGGCGCCCGCACGCCGCGGCTGCGGCCCCGGGCGGGGGGCGGCGGGGGGAGGGGGACCCACACCCGGCCACGCGCGCCCCGGCCACGCCGCGGGCCCCGCCCGGGCGCAGCGCCGCCAAGCCCGCCGCTTCCGCCCTCCCCGTCCCCCACCCCTCGCCTTCCTGCCCCCACCCCACCCTTCCCCGGCTCCTTCCTTCCCAGCCCACGCCCGCGCCGCGCCCCCCGCCAGGAGGAGGGCGCCCAAATGGATCGGCCTGGAGGGGGGGGAGGGAAGGGAACTGGGCGGGGGGGGGGGGGTCAGACGCTGGTGGCACCTCGAACCCCGCGCCCGAGCAATGTGCGCCACCGGCTCACGCGGGCCCATTCATTCTCCGCCCGCGGGCGCCCGCCGGCCCCGCCACCTTCGCGGCGGGGAAGGAGCGTGGGGGAGGGGGACCTCCGGGCCCGGCCCCGCCCGGATCCCCCGCCCCCCGGGCCCCGGCCCAGGAGCAGCGCTGCAGGCAGCCCGGGTGCGGCGCGCTGGATGCGGTGGGTGCGGGGCTGGATGCGGAAGGACCCCCCCCCCCCCCGTGCAGCTGTGCCAGCGGCCACAGCCCGTGGACAGCAACTCACGGTCGGGTCCCAGCTCCAAAGGACCCATCACTTAAAAAGGAGGCTCCCTGGCGGAGAAAACCGAGATGCAAATCCGAAATGCATCCTTTTCGACCGCAGCTGCTGCGCAACACCGGCATACGAAAAAAGAATCCCAGTCCCCCCCTCCCCCGCCAATGAAAAACCAAGGGGGAAAAAAAAGCCTGAAAATCTAGGAAGAAATCCTGGGCAGCTGCTATGCGGGTTTGGCCGCTCCCGACCTACCATGGTGCGAGCGGAGGGAGGAAGAGCAGAGGGAGCGAAGGAGGCTGCACCAGCGCAGGCTTGGGACGGCGGGGGTGCCTCCGCGGCTGCTGCTGTGGCTGCGAAGGCGCGGGGTGCGCTGTGCGCGGTTACCGCCGCCGCTGCCTGCGCCGCCGCCCGACTGCGAGTAACGGCAACGCGTCCACGAGACTCCCAGCGCCACTGCCTGAGCGCGAGCTTGCGCGCCGCGGCTTATATACGGCACGCCGTATCCCTCCGCCGCGGCGGGGGCCGCCTGGCGCAGGGCGGTCCTGCGACGGCCGGGCCTTGCCGCTTGGCCACGCCCCCCGGAGCGGCCACGCCCCCCGGCTCTCTGGGCCTCGCACCGCCGCTTGGGCGCGGGCCGCAGCAGGCCCAGTCCTGCGGGGGCCCAGGGATACGAGCGGCCTGGGGCGGGAGGGGGTTTCCGTGCTGGGGTGGCGAGCAGGCTGGGGGCCGGCGGGGAGGGGGCTGCCAATTCCCTTCTTGACCCAACCTGGGGGCGGCCCTGGGCTCCAAGCTGTCTCCCGGACTCTCCCAGCCCCGCCTCACCTGTGGGACCCTCCCACCTCTCCCACCGTGCGGGTTCGGGGAGCCGCGGGGAGCGGGCGGGAGACGCGGGGCGGCGGAGAGATGCCCGCCCACCTGCGGCTGCCGGAGAAGGGTCCACGGGGGACAAGGGGGTGGGCCTTGGGGAAGAAGCGGGTCTGAGACTGATTTTCGCGTGTGGTAGAACTGTCTCTGGCTGGTTGGGGGGCGCAGTTGTCACCTGCGTGTCCGAGCAGTCCGCAGCGCTTTCTCCTTTCTCGTGAATTGTTGTTAACCATAGCTAAATACCTCTCCCCTACGGTTTTGAACTCGTCTTAAAGCAAATACTATTCATGCTGGCCCTTGTCTTCTTATTGAAGTGAGTAGATTTGTGCATCTTTTTTTAAATAGACCTTTAAAGCTTTAAAAATATTTTTTCACAATCTTCCTGAGCCAGCCTTTTAGGCATAAATTCATCCGTACAAGGAAGGAAAAAAAGATATTTAGGATCACGTAGATTACAGCTGGAAAACGCAGCCGATTGCTTCTGGTGTGGGTCTGGACTGTAATTTAATCTTGATCATATCTCGGTTTAAAATATGATAATTTTCCTCCTGTTCTCCATTGTTCTGCAAACTAGAAAAGGAACGATTTCAGCACAGGACTTGTAAAAAGAAAAAAGACCTTTGACAAAAATGCTGCAGTTTCTTTTCTTGCCAAGGCAGCACACAGCATTTGATCTTTTGTGTACAGAGTCCAGAAAGTAGCAGGTTCTTTCTCTCATTGGCTTATTTCAAGGAAAGGTAGCAAAGTGTGTGATGAGCACACAGTGCTCCGAAAGGCTTTTCTTGATTATGTTTGTTTCCTGACTTGGACAGAGTCTTCAGGAAAATGTTTTAGAAAGGATAGAAAATATTCCGACGCATTGCAAATGCCACAGGACTTCTTGGAATGACCTTAGACAAGATGTCAGCGTCTGTGGAACTCTGCTTACCCAAGTTCTTTCTAGAATGCCACAGAAAGGGTGAACCTGCTGTTTGATTGAAAGGGAGGCGGGAGCAGAAATCTGTTTTCTCTCTGCAGAAAGAAAATATTCACAAATATTTCCCCACAAAATAGTGTTCCTGTGTTCATAGAGAAGAATCACTGACTGATACACAAGGACAATTTAAAGCATATTCAATAATCCAATGAGTTAGGAGTCTACATGGCCAAACTCATGATCAAAACTATTGTATTCCTAAGAGAATTTGCATTCTTTGTGCCAGGTTTTTCATAGAGTAATTAGTTAGATATTTAAAATTTCAGTATGCATAGTATACAGGGGAAATAATAGCCTAGAAATGAAATGTGTTTAATTATTGAGGATCTATTTGTTTCTAATAATCTTCCATTCCTCATTATTATTTTTTTTGTTTTTTTTTTTTGTGGGGGGGTCCGGTCATGGGGCCTGAACTCTGGGCCTGGGCACTGTCCCTCAGCTCTTCAGCTCAAGGCTAGCGCTCTACCTCTTGAACCACAGCGCCACTTCCGGCTTTTTTCTTTTTGCTTATGTGGTGCTGAGGAATCGAACCCAGAGCCTCATGCATGCAAGGCAAGCGCTCTACCACTGAGCCATCTTCCCAGCCCCCCTCATATTATTTTTATGAAGTTACTACAATCTATGCTTTTTTAAAACCCATCATTTTTTATCATTTTTTCCTGGGTTAATTAACCATGTTCCACCCAAATAAAGTACTTTGAAAAAAATTTTCAGGACTATTTGCTAAAAACTATACATCTTAGAATTAGTTTCATTATTGTAATAAAATTCCTTTTCCTGTTTCTCCATATTTTACAGCCTGGAGTTCTCCTCTGGTGATTTCTTTAATGTATCAAAGCACATCTTAACTTTCAAGTGTAGTAGGTTTGTAATGAGGTCATGCTTTTACACAGTTTTATGGCTACTTTGACACACTGAAATATAAGAAGGTCAAGTGACTTGCCCAAGATCTTACCGTGAGTCAGTGGTGGAGTATAAAATAGAGCTTGCGCCCTGGCTCAGGGGCTGTAATATTAGATTATATATTGGTGAAGTCAGCATCTAAAAAAATTAAAAGATACAATGTTCAGAGTTTATCTGTTCCAAAAGCCAGATTCTTCTCTGACTACTAGTCACTGAGTTTGTTCATGATCAAATAGACTCCTTTGCCTAAATAAACTTCCTAGTGTATGAAGAGATCAGCAATCTGGAAAATAAGTCACATATAGTAATAGCACTTAATGAGAAGCAAGTTTAGGGGAACCATCTGTATGAATGGTTCTGTCTGAAATTATTTAAATCAAATAATACTAAGTAGAAGAAAGATAGAAAAAACATGCAGTTCTAAGCCAGGAATCTCAGTCTTGGATATCACGTCTGTAACTAAGCACATCACTCTGGCCCTGTGAGACTGACAGAAAGAAATATAATAACTGTATAAATAAATGTTCATGGGCAAAGAAGGATGCTTGGACTTGATCTATTAGTGCCTTCCAGCTGTAAAAAAAAAAAACTCTAGATCTGAGATTATAATCTATATGATTATAAAGTATGTACATATATGTGCATGCATGCATACATACATCTTTTAAAGATGAGCAGGGAAATTGAGAAATGAGAGTAGTTTAATATTCTAAGTCCTGATCATGGCCAGGCCCTGTGCCAGATATGCTCATTTTTATTCTTAGGAGGAAACTGATGCATTGGACAACTAAATAGCTTGCCTGACTCAAGTGTAGAAATCCACAAATCAAGCTGAGCGCCCTAGCATTCCAGCACTCCGTGGTTATTTACACTGTAACCATATCTTGTAATTTAAGAGAACTTATTTTTAATTTAGTTAACAGGGGAAGGAAAGCACAACAGGTTAGGACTAAAAATGAATGTTTGCAAAGGTATTTCTTACCCAAGCAATGTAGCAATGACTCTGTCTCCCACACAAGGGACAGAGGGCTTGTAAAAAGAAATCAAAGCAACTCTTGACTTTGTAATGCTTTCTAGCCAAAAGACAGTTTTCGCGTTGCCTGTCAGACCTGGAAAGTTATGAAGGAGATTTGTCCACCGTCAGACAGTTGACAACACTACACTTTCATCAAAGGAAGTGAGACAAGGGTTCCTTTTTCTTAGACCTTGCTGTCTTTGCAGAGTTAATAATCTCAAATTTGTCTTTTACAAAATTGTTCTGGAAGCCAGGCCTGATTATGGCATCGGTTAATACAAAGCAGAAGTAGAGCCCCTAGTTTTTCCTAGCATAGATTGAGAGAATATATTTGCCTGTTGAAACCTGTCTCAGAGCAAGTCTCTGTCTTAAATATTTAGTGTATTCCACACTTTTCAAGGCACCATAAATATAGCAGACTATCTCCTTTCATGCAGTTTATATCCTTTTAGAGAAAATGAATCCTGTATGTGCGTGTGGGAGAGACAGACAGACAGGATTGTTTGACCATATATAATCAGCCTAAATCAATTTTCAGTATATAATTATTTCAGTGTGCCTTCATGGTTGGATTACCAGATGATTTTCCTGAAGAAATCTGTAATCCCTTACTAGCACCCACCTCCCAAGCTTCCTCTCAGAGGAAGACATGTCCCCAACCTTGCCACCAAGTCCTGCTCTTTTCTTTTCCACCTCAAAGTCAATAGTACTTTGACAAAATCCATCCATCCTTTTAGAATTTTCTACCTCACTAACCATCACCAAGCATCATAACATATTGCTACTGTGTGCATATAGATAGTTTTTTGTTGGTTGGGGGCTTGAACTCAGCCTGGAAGCTATCCCTGAGCTCTTCAGCTCAAGGCAAGCGCTTTACCACTTGAGCCACCACAGCACTACTTCCAGTTTTCTGGTAGTTTATTGGAGATAAAAGTCTCACAGAAGGGGAAGGGAGGGGAAGGAGATGGATTGGGATTGGGGGGGAGGGGGGAGGCTGGGAAGGGATGTGAAGGGTAAACAAAGGAGGAGGCTGCAATGCTTGGTAAGAAATGTACGCATTATCCTGTCCATGTAATTGTAACCCCTCTGTACAGTATGTTCACAAATAAAATAAAATTAAATTAAAAAAAAAAAGTCTCGCAGAATTTCCCTCCCGGGCTGGCTTTAAACAGTGATCCTCAGATCTCAGCCTCCTGAGCAGCTAGGATTATAAGCGTGAGCCCTCAGCTCCCAGCTATTTCATTATTTTTTATAGGAATTATTGTGTAAAAAATCTTTATTATCTATATTAGCAAATAAAATACCTCATTTTTCCATTTTTGAATTTTGCTCTTCTTTTTTTTTAATTTTTTTATTTTGTTGGTCGTGGGCTTAAACTCAGGGCCCAGGAACTGTCCCTGAGTTTCTTTTGCTTGAGCTACAGTGCTACTTTCAACTTTTTCTGTTTGTGTGGTACTAAGGAATTGAACCCAGGACTTCATGCATGCTAGGCAAGCACTCTGCCACTAAGCCATCTTCCCAGGCCTCTTTCTTTTTTTCTGGTGCCAGTACTGGGGCTTCAACTTAAGAACCTCACACTTTCCGGTGGCTTTTTTCTGCTCGACTGGCACGATACCATTGAGCCACTTGTGATTTTTTTCCTGGTTCACTGGAGATAACAGTCTCACAGACTTTTCTGTCCAGGTATTTAATGCAGAATGACCCCCTCTTTTCACGAT